AGGCCAGCTAGTAGAAGAGCCCTCCAGACGTGGAGCTGCCCCCATGTGCCCTTAACTGCAAGCAACCCTGCAGACCCAAAGCAGGGCGGTGGTGGCTCACACTCTTAATCCCAGCAGTCCTAAGGCAGAGTGAGACAGAGGCAGGCGGATCTCTGAGTTCAAGGCCAGCTCTGGTCTACAGAGCAAATCCTAGGATACCTGGGATTACACAGAGAAACCCTGTTTGGAAAAACCAAAACCAAAAAAAAAAAAAAAAAAGGAATCCCAACTTCTTGAGTGTGTCCAGCTTTCATCTGTATCCCCTTCCCCAGCCCTCTGAACTTGTTTTGTTTTGTTTCTTTGGTTTTGGTTTTTTGAGACAGGGTTTCTCTGTAGCCTTGGAACCTGACCTGGAACTAGCTCTTGTAGACCAGGCTGGCCCCAAACTCACAGAGATCCACCTGCCTCTGCCTCCCGAGTGTTGGGATTAAAGGCATACGCCACCACCGCCCTGCATGAACTTCTTCAAAAGTGACACAGGCCTACCTGCACCCCCAGCTCCAAGTAAAACGTAGCTTCCTGTTTCCTTTTCTTTTTGTGCGGGGAAGGGCACACACTAAGCAAGTGTTCAAGAGTTTCTATCTTTTAATTTTAAAAATGTTTGTTCTGGGGGGTGAGGGTGGGGGAGGTTGTGCCTGCACAGAGCCTAATAACCTATGAGAGCCGCTGGAGCCTGAGTTCCGGAGCAACCTCTGCTCCTCTGTGCAGCCCCAAGTGTCTCATCTCAGGTAGCCTGGGTTGGTGGCCCATGCTTTCATCCCAGCACTCCGGAGCTAAAGCAGGAGGATTGCTGCAAATATTAGCCTAGCCTGGCTACAGAAGACTGGCTATGTCTTTAATCCCAGAGCTTGGGAGGTGGAGGCAGGCCTGGTCTACAGAACTATCTCAAGGACAACCAAGACTACAGAAAGAAACCTTGTCTCAGGAAGAGCACTGCCTGCTCTTCCAAAGGTCCTGAGTTCAATTCCTGGCAACCACATGGTGGCTCACAACCATCTGTAATGAGGTCTTGTGTCCTCTTCTGGCCTGCAGACACACACACAGACAGAATATTGTATACATAATAAATAAATATTTAAAAAAATAAGAACATACATATATGAGTCCTGACCTGGGTAAGGTGTTGATGGAGAACACTGGCTGCGCAGTAACAAGGTTACTGTGGTAGAAGATGTTTTTAGATGTGGTGTCTTGTGTATTTATACCTTGACATCCTGTAAGTCTATTGCCAATATTTAAAAATAAAACGTATTCCAGGCAGGGTGTTCTGTGCCTGTGTTCTCAATCCTCCTGTCGTCACTGCCAGTCTCACATTCCCAGCGTGCATCAGTTTTGCACCCCGATCTCTCCTGTGTGCATAATTTACTGCTTTGTGTATTATTTTGGTAATAAGATTCTGTCCATAGCCGGGTGGTGGTGGCACACGCCTTTAATCCCAGCACTCGGGAGGCAGAGGCAGGCGGATCTCTGTGAGTTCGAGACCAGCCTGGTCTACAGAGCTAGTTCCAGGACAGGCTCCAAAGCTACAGAAAAACCCTGTCTCGAAAAACCAAAACAAAAAAAAAAATTAAAAATAAATAAATAAATAAATAAAAAGATTCTGTCCACCATACAACCTCCCTAAGATTTAGAGGGCCTTTTGGCTGGTAAGTCCACTTGTGACCACTAGAGGGCAAAATGCCACCACCACTGAAAGGCTGGAAACAGGATTTGAACTCAGCGTTTCCAGAAACAAAACAAAGATAAACTGGGTAAAATCAGAGCCGCTGGGGCTAGGGAGATGGCTCAATTGTTAGAGTGCAGAGGCAGGAGGACCTGTGTGGTGAGGACAGTAGTCAAGGAGGACACCCCGCCTCTGACCCCAACTCGGGACACACCTCATGATAGAGACATACCAAAGTAAGCAGAAAGAGCACAGTCAGGAAGCCGGAGAATGCGGATGGGGAGTTTCTGAGGTGCTGCTTTTAGCCCGGGACAGGGTCAAGCCTGGCCCCGAGTGACCGCCAAATGCCAGTGGAGCTCAAAGCCAGGCCTGGCGGTGCACGCCTGCCATCCCAGAGTTCCAGAGTCTGAAGTCTGAGAATGGCTTCAAATTCAAGGCCAGCTGGGAAGGGAGAAGGAGAGGGTGGAAGAAAGCTGGTACCCCAACTGGGCTCACTAAACCCAGCCGGACCACAGGGACTGTATGGGGTTCACTCCAAAAAGCCGAGCGGGGCCTTAAAGCCTCAGCCAGATCGAGGAGGAAGAACTCATGGTACAGTCTGAGTTTTATCAACTCAATTGACTGCTTGGCAAAAAAGAACGGGGCTGGGGAGATGGTTCAGCAGTTGAGAGCACCGGCTACTCTTCCAGAGCACCCACATGGCAGCTCAGTCATCTGTAACCAGTCCCTGGGGATCCCACACCCACTTCTCGCTCCCGAGGATACGGCACACGTGCTGCATAGACACAATTTTATTTTATTTTTTTTTTGGTTTTTCAAGACAGGGTTTCTCTGTGGCTTTGGAGCCTGTCCTAGAACTAGCTCTGTAGACCAGGCTAGTCTAGACACAATTTTTAAAAATGAGGGAAAAGTCGTTTTCTTCTGAAAAATGAAGCAGACTGGAGAGCAGCCGCTGTTGGTATGACTCGGTGGTACCTGCCTGGAGTCCCCCAGTGAGGAGCTGGATAGAACTCAGAACCTGGGTGCTAACCCTGGTACCCCCGACCCACTCCTATAATCAAAACCATTACTTTGTTTGCTAACTTCAAAAGTTAACGACAAAGCCTCTGGATCCCCAAATTCATGTGGTAGGGAGGAAGCACAAGCGCACGTTGTCAGTAAACAAGATAAGCTGCCTTGAGATGTGCCTTGCATGGGTGAACGAATGTCCTTCGTGGGCAGCTGGGTTATTATCACAGACTGAACCCCACTGGGAAGCAGCTACCCCCAGATCAAGAGCATGAGACTACCCAGCTGGTGGGTGCCTCTGGCACATTCCCAGCACTGGTCAGCAGGGGGCGCTCACGCCATTCAGTTCCTGCTCTGGAATGCACAGCCTGAACGCCAAGCACTTGGGGACTCAGTCCCCTGATCTGGGCTGTCTGTCAAAGCCCTTTCGATGCCACCACTTCTGCAGATGAGTGCCACAGCACTGGCATGGACCTAATTCATTAAAAGTTTCTGGGGTCAGTTGGGCAGTGGTGGTGCAAGCCTTTTAATTCCACCACTGGGAAGCAGAGGCAGGCGGTCCTGAGTTCAAGGCCAGCCTGGCTGGTCTACAGAGTTCACTACACACGGAAACCCTGACTTGAAAAAAACAAACAAAATGCGAAAGGTAGGAAGAAAAAGGAAAAGTTCTGGGTTCAATTTCAGGTAATCAGGCTTAGTAACAAGCACCTTTTTTATGTGCTGGCTAGTTCTGTCGACTTGACGTTTATTAGATGCATTGGTGTGTGTGTGTGTGAGAGAGAGAGAGAGAGAGAGAAAGAGAGAGAGAGAATGAGAGAGAGAGAGAGAGAGAGAGAGAGAGAGAGAGAGAGAGAGAGAGAGAAAGAGAGAGAGAGAGAGAGAGAGAGAGAGAGAGAGAGAGAGAGAGAGAGAGAGAGGTCAGACCCCCTGGAACTGGAATTCCATAAGCAGAGCTAAGCTGCCCTGTAGGTGCTAGGAATTGAACCCTAGTCCTTCGGAAGAACAGATGATGCTCTTAACTCCCAACCATCTCTCCAGTTTCAGGAAGAAAGAATCTTTGCTGGCCTCGAACTCGCAGAGGTCCCCCTGTCTCTGCCGGGATTAAAGGTGCGCCACCACCAGCAGCTGAAGAAAGGATCCTAATTGAGAAAATGCCTCCAGAGCCTGGTTGAAGACAGCTGTCTGAGGACAACCCAGTGTGGGTGCGGCCACCCCAGCAGGTGGTCCCGGGAGCTCTCTGGAAGCCAGCAGAGCAAGCCTGGAAAACAAGCCAGCAGGCCGCACCCCTCCATGACCTCTGCCTCAGTTTTTGCCTCAGGGTTCCTGCCCTGACTTCCCCTAAGGATGGGCTGTGACCTGAAATAAACCCTTTCTTCCCCAAGTTTCCTATCACTGCAGCAGAAACCCTAAGACACCTGCTGAGTCACCTAGGCCCCCACCTCGTTTATCCTGATTTTTCATTTTTATTTGGTTGAGTGTATACACATGTGTAGGTGCCCTAGAGGCCAGAAAACCCACCTAACTCTTCAGGGATGGAGTTAGTAGTATTTGTGAGCCTCCTGCTCTGGGTGCTGGGACCCCAGCACTGGGATCTTTTTTAACCTCTAGGCTAGCTAACCCCCCTTTAAATTAAAATATATCATTATCCCGTCCCCATTCCTCCCTCCAACAACAGGGGTCTTATTCTATAGCCCAGGCTGGCTGTGAGCGCCTAGCAATCCTCCTGTCCCAGACTCTGGAGTGCTGGTATCACTGTAGCTGACACCAGGCCCTCTCTGCCCTTGGCCCACTACCAGCTGTCCGGTCAGCACCGCACGGGTAACACTGCATCTACGCAGGCATCTGAGAACCGTGGTGTTTTTCTTACTGTGGTTTTGAGCGTCTCGCCACCCTGCAGCACTTACAGGGCGGGACTTCCTGCCTGGCCTTCCTCTGTGGTCTCCAGGCTGCTGGGAACGCCCTCAGATTTCCACCAACACACGTGTCCAAATGCCCGAGACCCTCCTAACGCTGTGGCCTTTAGTCCAGTTCCTCAGGTTGCAGTGACCCCAACCATAAAATTATTTTTGTTTGGACTTCATAACTGTAATTTTGCTAACGTTACTAATCATAATGTAAACATCTGATACGTAGATATCTAATATTTGACCCCTGTAAAAGGGTTGTTGGATCCCAAAGGGGTCACGATGTGATACCTTCCTGCAGGCCAGGCCTCAGCGCAGCCGCCAGCACAGCCTCCTTGGGCACAGCATCTCACCCCACCCCAGACAGACAGACAGACATACCAGAGGACCCCAGCAAAGGCTTTTATTGCTCCCAGGTAGTGGGCAGTACAGGTCAGCCCATGTGATTGAGGCTCAGATTGGGGTGGGCCAGGGTGTGGGCCCAAGGCCTGTGCTGGGAGATGGTTTTAGTGGCAGTCACTTGAGTGCCTGAGTGTCGGGGCAGATGGGGGCTCCAGCCGCGGGGGCCAGGGTCTCACGGAGAGAAGGTGATTCAGTGGGTCCCTGAGAGCCCAAGAACCAGGGACACCAGAGCTGAGTCTGTGCCCTGGAGGTTGGCTGCAGTGGCCCCTCAACTGCCCCCATGGAGTCCTGGGGTCACAGGGCTGAGCAGACCTAGGATCAGAGTTCATCGTGGTGTCTCGTCAGGTCCTCGCCGTAGTTGGTGGCCTGGCTGCCCACAAACATGTTCCAGTTGCTCAGGATCTCAGCTTTGCTCAGACGGCCATCCTGGGGGTCAGGGGTTCACATGGACACTGCCCACTCAAAGTGTCCTCAGGGCCCCACCTCGGCCTTGTTCTTCTCTGGGCCTCAGTCCCCGTCTGTTTTTCTCTCTCTCTGGCCCTCACCCTCTCTCTTTCTGGGTCTCTCTCTCTCTCTCTTTCTCTTTCTCTTTCTCTCTCTCTCTCTCTCTCTCTCTCTCTCTCTCTCTCATCCTCTCTCTTTCTGGGTGTGTCTATGTTTCTTCTGGCTCTCTCTGGCTCTCTCCTCCTCTCTCTGTGCTTCAGGACCCTTCTGAGTTCCTGCAGTGGCCCAAGCTTACTGAAGTCTGGAAACAAGAATGAAAATATAGAAATAGAGCCAGGCGATGGTGGCACACGCCTTTAATCCCAGCACTCAGGAGGCAGAGGCAGGCTGAGTTCAAGACCAGCCTGGTCTACAGAGCTAGTTCCAGGACAGGCTCCAAAGCCACAGAGAAACCCTGTCTCGAAAAATAAATAAATAAAAATTAAAAAAAAAAAAAAGAAATAGAAACACAGGCACCAAAGATTAGAATGTAGAGGCTAGAGGCTTAGGATAGAGGAAGAGAGACACATAAAGCTGTAAACTAAGTAAACTACCAACAACTTTCTCAGAGGATCAAGGATCAATCGTTCACAGTGAGCTATTTTCTCAGATGCTTAGGAAGCCTCCATCAGCCTAGGTCATTTCATTTAACAACTGGCTGTTCTATTTACAAGGCAGGAGCTTCTCTGCAAACTGAGAGTAGTGTCCTGGCCATCGTTGACGAATGACAGATAGGAACTGAGTTAACCTCTAGGAGACAGAGATGCTGACCTCTGGGTTAGGCACTGTGTCTGTTATGGGAAACTGGCGCCACCAAAGGGGAGGCAGGGGCTTCAGTATAACTGCCTGGAGGAACCGGAGAGACAGAGGACACGGTGCAAACACCTGGTTTGACCGATGAGCTCTGAGAATGGAGGCTGTAAAGTACGGCAGTCTGTATCTGAGTTTCACCTGGAGAATAGTGTGAAGAACTTTCTGCTGTCTTCTAAGTTCCCAGCCTAAGAACCAATTCATTCTAATTTGTTAACCTCCTGGTATTGCTAGCGGTCCCTTTTCTGACTAATTGCTAAAGACACCTATTTTCTTGCAATTAGTGACTTTCGCTGTAATCTACTCAGAAACATATTTCATGATAGCTGCCTAGTTACCCACTGATGTTAGAACTCACTCCCTTCCTTAGGGTCTCCATTGACTGACCTGTGGTGGGGGGCAAGATGGTAAAAATTCCTTTGTTCAGACCTAATGCCTGGTGCCCTAACTATAAAAGGCGGGTTCAGAAACTGGCCTTTGGCCACAGTCTAACAAACACCACCTCTGGCTGTGGTCTCAGCTAGCTCATATGCTTCTTGCCCAGCAGTGTTTGGTTTTTTATTTTTTTATTTTTAAGTTTGCTTCTGGTTTTCTGGGATCTGGTCTCAGGAATAAAGTTTGCTTTCGGTTTACTAGACTTGGGGTTCCCATCTTTGCGCAACCCCCTGGACCCAACACTCACCTTGTCTGTGTCGCTCTCGTGCAGCAGGTGGTTGGCCTCCACGAGGGGCTGGTCCTGGGACGGAGGCAGCACCCAGTAACCGACCTCACTGCCGTCCAGCTTCCCATCCTTGTTCAGATCCCGGAAGTCCCGGAACTGCTGCCGCTCCGTCTGCACCCAGGCAGGTTCCTCCTCCCCAGGCACCTCAGAGTACAGGTCCGCTGAGGGGAGAGGGTGGGGCAGATAAGGTCAGGGGCATCCCAAGAGCCACCTTTCTACCCTCTCTCCCCCACCTCCCCACCCGCACAGCCACCAGACCCCTAAGCCTGACATCTTCTACCTGTCGAATTTGTTTGGGAGATAAAACACGTTATTTAAAAAGATTTGGAAAGAAAAACAGAAAAAGATAAAGCATCCATTCCGTACAAATGTTATAAACACACGGTTAAGCAAAAACCTCTCCTGTGCATATTTGATGCATGAACCATTTCATGTGTGAACCTTGCAAGTGCTAAAGCCTCTGTGCAAGGGGCTGAACATGGCTCAGCTGGAAGCAAGCACAGAGCTCTGGGGTCCGTGCCCAGAACTGTATAAACAGGGCATGACTGTGCATATGCCTGTGATCCCAGCCCCGTGTAGGTGGGAGAGTGGGGACAGGAGTCTTCCTGTCACAGCAAGTTCAAGGCCAGCCTGAGTTACGGGAGACCCTCTCTCAAAAAGCAAAACAAACAACAACAAACAAAACAAAAAAAGGAAAAAGAAAATCAAGTTTTATCTTCAAAGCACTTTCTGGAATGAACTAATTTGGTGCCTAGGACAGGACTGCAGCAGGCCTTAGCAGGTGTGCAGGTTAGCAGGTGTGCAGGTTCACAGGTGTGTAGGTTAGCAGGTGTGAAGGTTAGCAGCTGTGCAGGTTAACAGGTGTGCAGATTAGCAGGTGTGAAGATTAGCAGGTATGCAGGTTAACAGGTGTGTAGGTTAGCAGGTGTGAAGGTTAGCAGCTGTGCAGGTTAACAGGTGTGCACAACTGACCCCAGAAACTTTTAATGAATTAGGTCCAGGCCAGTGCTGTGGCACTCATTAGCAGGTGTGAAGGTTAGCAGGTGTGAAGGTTACAGGTGTGAAAGTTAACAGGTGTGAAGGTTAGCAGCTGTGCAGGTTAACAGGTGTGAAGGTTAGCAGGTATGAAGGTTAGCAGGTGTGAAGGTTAGCAGGTGTGCAGGTTGGAAAACTTCAAACAGCTCCAAGTGGGACAACTGGAGACACAATGTTTGTATGGAAACAAGATTAATCTCGAGCCTGGTACAACAACTCCAGGCTGTTCCCCAGAGGGCATCTGTCGCGGTGCCCAGTGAATTCTCCTGGGCTGGTCAGGCAAGACATAAGCGGAGTGATGAAGACAGGCCTCAGGCAGGAACAGGGCTTGCTCACCGATGTATTCCTCCACCTGGACATAGCCATCTTTGTTCCTGTCAAGGTCCTCCAGGGTCTCCTGGAAAAGGCATTCGGAGGAAGTCAGTGTACCTGGGGACTTTGAATGCGACAGGGATGGGCATGTGTCTAGGGGAAGGCAGTCAGGAAAGCTTTCTGTCCAACCTTGCCAGCTTTGTCTGTCTTGTTTTACAAGACAGACTCTCACTGTGTAGCTCTGGCCGTCAAACTCACTTTGTAGACCAAGCTGGCTTTGAACTCAGAGTCCCACCTGCCTCTGCCTCTTGAGGCTCATGAATTATGTATTTTTAAAGATTTTAAATATTTTTTTATGTGTTTGGATGTTTTGCCTGCATACCCTGTACCGTGTGCATGCAGAGCCCCTGCAGAGCTGGAGTAGGGGTGGAGGGGGGCCTTGCGCAGGAAGAGCAAGTGCTCCTAACCATAGCCGTCTTTTCATTGGCCACACTTTCATACAGACGCCCATCATGTCTACTCTTCGTGTTATCTGTCCTAATTAAAAACCTTGTTTCTGGGTCTGCTGTGGCGGCTCGCGCCTTTGATGCCAGCAGTTGGGAGGCAGAGGCAAGCAAATCTCTTGAGAGTTTGAGGCCAGCCTGGTCTATAAAATGAGTTCCAGGGCAGCCAGGACTACACTGAGAAACCCTGTCTCAAAAAAACCAAAAAAATGGCTCTGTACCCTACTTTTACATTTAAGCTCACTCAGTAAAAGATGATAAAGGCAAGTATTGAAGGTGTGGTTCACAGTAAAACCCCTACCCAGAATCCCCCAGTGAGGGCTGGGGCAAGGCTCAGAGGTACAGCATATTTCATGACCATACCACAAAATGATTTTCGGATCTAGGGAAGACAGTACAGTTGACAAACTAAAGCCACACAATCATGAGGCCTGAGCTGGATGACACAAGACAGGCCTGGTGGCACACACTTATAAACCCCGAACAGCCAGGGGTAGTGCACGCCTTTAATTCCAGACTCGGGAGGCAGAGACAGGCGGATCTCTGTGAGTTTGAGGCCAGCCTGGTCTACAAGAGCTAGTTCCAGGACAGGCTCCAAAGCTACAGAGAAACCCTGTCTCAAAACAAAACAAAACAAAACAAAAGCAACTGTCTTCTGACAAAGACCTGGGTTCAGCTGCCAGCACCCACAGTGGGCAGTTCACAAACAACTATAATTCCAGGTCCAGGCGGTCCCACACCTTCTTTGGCCTCCTTAGCACCTGCATGTTTACCTAGGGCCCAGCCACAGTTGGGGTTCACCTGAGGGTCTTCTAAGGATGTGGTTGTCTGGGCACAGGCCAGGGACTGGACACCCAATGACAAGTGGACATGGGAGAGGCTGCTGTGCCCACAGCTATGTCGGTGGCCTGGGGTTCATGTAAAAGAATGGGAACCTAGGACAGATTTGGGAAGCAGGTGTTCTGCAACCTCACTCACTGCAACCACAATGTCCCGCATATGGGGGAACTCCTCAGGGTGCAGAAAGGCTGTCAGCTCTTCCCGGGTAGCCATGGAGTCCCCATCCTGGTCGGCCACCCGGAATCGCCGCTCATCCCGAGCCAGCATCTTCTTGTAGGTCTCAGCATCCTCCACATCATGGAATTCCTCCCCTGGGGAAGGACAGATGACAGATGTGGGTGAGGTGCATGGTCACAGAGGTGGCCCAGTGGCTTAGGAAACAACAGAAGGACCCAGAAGTCAGCTACGTGCCTAGCCCACACTCTGGTAACCCTTCTGCCTTCCCATCTCGGCACAGGCCGAGGAGGACCGCTACCCAGGAATGCTGGTAAATTTTATGTCAGCTTGACGTAGGTTAGAGTACCTGAGAGGCCAGCTGAGAAGATGCCTAGGCAGGCTGCATGCAGAGCTGCTCAGCCTCCCCAGTGCAGTTCCTCATGCTGTGCTCACCCTAGCCTGAAAATTCTTTTTGTTGCTACTTCATAACTGTAATTTTGCTGCTGTTGTGAATTTTAATGTAAATATCGGATATGCAGGATAGCTGACATGTGACTCCCAACAGGGTCACAACTCACAGGCTGCGAATCACTGCTTAGAACATTTTCTTAATGAGCATTTGATGTGGGAGACCTGGTCTACTGCGGGTGGGGCCACCGCTGGGCTGGTGGTCCTGGGTGTGGTGGCGCAGGCCTTTAATCCCAGCACTCAAGATGCAGAGGCAGGCGGATCTCTGAGCTTGAGGCCAGCGTGGCCTACAGAGCCAGTTCCATCCAGGATGGCCAGGGTTACCCAGAGAAATCCTGTCTGGAAAAAAACAAACAAACAAAAAAACAAAACAAAACAAAACAAAAGAAGACAGCAGACCAAACAAGCCACGGGAGTACAGTAAGGAGCACTCCCCCATGGCCTCTGCAGCAGCTCCTGCCTCCAGGTACTCGCCCTGTCTGGGTCCCTGCCCTGACTTCCTTCAGAGATGCACAGTGGTGTGGATGTGGAAGTCAAATATTCTCCTCGCCAACTTGCTTTCGGTCATGGTGTTTCATCACAGCGATAGTAATGTTAACTAGGACACCAGGGCTGCTCAGAGAGACTGTCTCAAAAGGAAAACAGAGATCAGGGGTCAGGACTACAGCGTATGGAAGGAAAATGTTCTGGGCAGGAGTGTGGAGTCTCCAGCAGCTTGTCACACAGGTTGGATCTCACAAGGGACAGCAAGCTAGATCAGAAATGGAGGAGAGGTATCGGTGACAACGTCGGTCGTAAAAGAGGACAAAGGTGAGGTGGGCATACCGGGCTCATAGTGGCCGTACGTGGCATTGCGCAACTCCTCCCAACCCACACGCCCATCGCGGTCCGTGTCGTAGGTGTGCCAGGCTGCGCTCACCGAGTCGCGGATGTGCCGCTGTTGTGTGTGCGCGATCCACGAACGGAGCTCGGCTAAGGACACCCAGCCATCGTTGTCCCCAGCGAGATCCATGCGGTCCACGATCCGACTGCGAAGGGGACGAGGCACATATGCAGGCACAGAACACTATACATAATAAATAAATAAATCTAAAAAGAAGACTGAAAATTCTGCACAGCACCCACAGGTGAACCCAGAAGAGGCATTGCTTGTGTTCTGTTTCTAGTGTTTTCTGTTTTGTTTTTGAAAGAGGGTGTCACTATGTAGCCCTGGTTAGCCTGAAACTCACTGCATAGGCCAGGCTGGCCCTGAACTCACAGATTTGTCTCCCAAGTGCTGGGATTGAACTGTGTGCCAGCCCAGGATCAGGAGGAGTGTAGGTAGGTCTCGTCCACTCCAGGTCTTTGCCCGCCCTGACTTAGAGACAGTGTCACACACATCTGGAATGGCAGCCAGATGAAATGGGATGCACATTTAATCTCGTACCAGGCCCTCTTTGCCTAGTGGATGAGCGCCTGGCTCAAACAAAGGGCACACTCTACTCTAGCCCCGCCCCAAAACTCTACCCAGACCTCAACCACAGCTGGACTGAGCTGGAGTGAGGACAGCGAGTCCGGTTTCAAAGTGCCAGATCTCTACTAACCCTGAGGCTCCACCTCTTGCCATCTCAGGGCCCGCCCCTCTCTCAGGCAGCCTGTGGACTCAAGCTCTGCCCACTTCCCTAGATGGACACATCAATTTTGGGCTCCTCCCTCCCCAGCTTAGCCCTGTGAAACTTCCAATGCCACTTCTTGCCCAGTTTAAAAGGAGTAATTCGTTAGCAGGACATGGTGCGCACCCCTTTAGTCCCAGCACTCAGGATGCAAAAACACGCGAATCTCTGCATTTTAGACCAGTCTGGTCTACACAGTGAGTTCCAGGCCAGCCATAGTACTCAGTGAGATTCTATCTCAAGGTAATGAAAACAATAATTAAAAAGCATGTATACACGGAGTGGTCTTCTTGTCCCCTGGGTCATGCTAACTGTGTCCTCCAGCTTGAGTCACGACTCCATCCCTCTCAGTCCAACCTGAATTCTGAGCTTGGACTCTCAAATTTTTTCAGACTCTTTCAAGAGTTGGTGACCCTGTTTAGAAGCTAAGAGGGTCAGAACAGGGATGTCCAGACGGAGGAGGTAGCGGGGGAACTCAGGTGTTGGTGAGACGGGTCCACCGCAGCCTCAGGTTTAATTCTGTCTTTTCCCAGGAGGCGAGTACCACAGTTGTGTCCAGTCTCCTGCCTCTGACCTTTTCAGTGAGCTCAATTCTCCCCGACTTCCCACCTCCGCCCGGCTCCCCCCATTCCTACCCGAGTCGGGCCTGGCTTTCCTCTGGGCTGAGTTGGTCGAATTCCTTGGCCACGTCTCTTCCCAGGAACGCCTCGTGGTCATACTGGAAATTTCCGTGGGCGTCATCGTGGGGGGCGTCGCTCAGGGGGGCTCCCTGATGCACCCTCGCCTGGCCATGAGGTCCGGCGTCAGGGGATGGCTTCCCCAGGGCCCACCACCTCAGCAGCAAGAGAAGCAACAGAAGCGACCGTCGCCACATCATTGGTCCCTGGGGAGGGGTGAGGACCAGGGGTCAGCGGGTCACATGGGAAAAAAAATCCAAATCAGACATTAGTGTGGGGTGAACTTCAAAGTTAGGGGAGTTGCTTCCGGCAGGGCAGATATAAGCAAGCTACAGAAAGTTTGGGGCTTAAGAAAAGTCGGCAAAAAGAATAGGGAATTTGAAGGTAAAACCGCCTATGAGGGTAGAATCCGTGCCTCGGAAGAGTCCCGGAGGAGAAAGGGGGTATTTCAGTTGAGACGTGGCACACGCCCCACGCAAAGTTCAGGGCATGGTGGTGACTGAGGGCATCATGCAGGGTCCTCTGTGTGTCCCGCCCCGACCGAGACCGTAACCCCGAAAACCCCTCCCGGGCTAGCTCCCCACCCTTCCCCCGGTTACCAGGCCTGGGTTCGCTCCCCAAGATGAACTCGGCTTTCGCGCAAAGATGCCCAACCTGGCCCGGCGCCAGTCAAGCTCCGCCCCCGGCAGCCCAGAGGCCCCCGCCCTCCGACCAATGACGGCGCCGGAGGCCCTCAGGGGCGGAGCCAATGGGCGCCAAAGTTGCCCCTGGAGCCCCTCGCCACGTCCACAAGGTTGAGCGCTAGCCTGGAAGGCATGGTGGTCAATAAGGCAGATTTGAACTACAACTCCCAGGAGGCTTTTGGGAAGCCGGCACAGCTACCTCCATTGACTCTGGTCCCAGAGGATTAGGGGAAGTGTATTTCTTTTAACCGTTTCTCGGATTGTTTTAAGAAAAGAGGAGATCGGACTTGGTGGCTCGTGCCATTAATTACAATACTTGGGAGGCAGAAGCAGGTTGACTTCTTATTACTTTTTGTTTGTTTGTTTGTTTTTGTTTTTCGAGACAGGGTTTCTCTATGTAGCTTTGGAGTTCCTGTCCTGGAACTAGCTCTTGTAGACCAGGCTGACCTCGAACTCACAGAAATCTGTCTCTGCCTCCCAAGTGCTGGGATTAAAGGCTTAAACGCGTGCGCCACCACCACCTAGGTAGCAGGCTGATGAGTTCGGGACTATCCTGGTATACATAGCAAGTTCCAGGAGAGCCAAGACTACATAGAGAGACCCTATCTCAGAAAGAAAGAAAGAAAGAAAGAAAGAAAGAAAGAAAGAAAGAAAGAAAGAAAGAAAGAAAGAAAGAAAGAAAGAAAGAAAGAAAGAAAGAAAGA